TGGGTGCCATATAAATTTGTCAACAGACACTTTGTCTCTTATATTTTTATTTCAAATTATTAAAGTTAAGTCTGAAACCTTTAAGGTTTCCTCTAAAGACTGCTCCAACTTGATCTTACTTCTTAACCTTTTCCATCTGTGCTCCTCTTATGTAAGACCTGTATGTCCTTGTACAGACATTTCACCCTCTGATGTGGATTTATTATAGCACATGTGTTCAGATTTATTTTTACTGTTCACCCCGACATGTAGTAAAACTCAATAAAACCGTCGGCAGATGTACTTTGGCAATGGGATCAAATCAAATATATACCAGGAGTTTATAAAGTCATTTTTATTATAAAGTCTGTTATTACCACATTTGTCTATTAAAAAGATTCTGGCTCATACACTAACACACCATCTGTTCCAATTGCTGAATCACAACAAGCAGTGGTGTTGACCTGTTTGTCCACTGTGGCAGAAACATAACCGTCTCATAATGTGACCGCCCACTGAATCGGTCATGTAGAAACATTTTCCAACTGTGACAGGATAAGAACCAGAGGCGTTAATTTCCTGTTGTGTTGGTTCATGAAGGACTTTAATTATTTATTCTTTATTTATTTCTCCTCTGTTCTCGAGCACAGGCCAGAGTTAGAGGAGTGTGAGGTCAGTGGGTGCATGTGGAGGAGGGAGAAAAGTGCTAAAGGACAGAGGCGAGTGAGATAGCGATAATGATAGATGACGTGTGGGTGCATGCGTGCGGATGACATATTTGAGAAGGGGGGGCGGCCAGTCCCCCCCGTCCATGAAGCACTGAGGGAACAGTGACGGCATTTGCACTTTCCAGCTCACAGGACGAGACAAGTTCATCTTTACAAGGGTGCGTAAGAAAAAGCAGGCACGCGAAGCTTTCAATACTTAACAGGAGAGTTGAGCAGATTTCAAACATGCACGGAAAAACGGGGTGAGAACGCAAATGTCCGTGTCAGTTATTAGACATTTTGCTGCCAGCCTCTCGAGTATAATACTCGACCGTGTGAGAATACAGGAGGAAAATGTCCAGAAAATTCACAGCGTCGGATGCTAAACTGAAAATAAATATCTCAGGATGAAAAAGAGGTGCGAGGATGTCGACAAATGTGTAAGACCTTTTGGTGTTAAAGGCAGATGCCGGTCTGTCAACAACTACGCATGATTTTTGCGGTGGAATTTATACGCCACGTCCTGCCTTCTGCATGGTTTGACCAGGTTCTAGATATTTTCCTGTTGTTATGAACGCATCTGAAGTGGAAAATCTCCTGCTGAATTCTTCATATGTGAAAGACAAAGTCATTGCATGTCTGAAAACGGCTTTGGAGTGTGAGAGTAATTCCTCCTCATTATCCTCATTGATAGACTGTTCTCCTGATCACATTTTGCGAATTAGAAGCCTAAAACAAAACAGTTGTGACTTATGTCCATTGTTGTCTTCACTCTCCTCTTTTCAAGGAAAACACAGTTGGGTTTGTGTGTTTAATCTGTCTCCGTAACGTCCTTATTTCCCAGTGTGGGACTCCATTAGCTGCTGTAGAATAGCATGAGTAGAGCATCGATTGCAACAACAGTTCCAACACGCAGTATTAATGTCAGAAAGAATAGGCCGTTACATTAGGCCCAGAAATTCTTGTTGGAATCAATAGACACACTCACACAAAAACGCGCACACAGCCTCTGAGGCCTAAGTGCTAAGATAATAACCATTTGATTGGGTTAACAGAGGCAGCTCTGTTTAGGCCGGCTGCTTTGCCTCACCGTGGTATGAGGTTGTCTCCTCTTTCACCTCCAGGTTATTGAGCTGGCTCTATTGGTGACAATCAATTTCATTGTAATGCATGAGGAAAACAAGAAAAAGAAAACATGTTTATAGCTAGCACCTCATCGCTCTTGGGCACAGACAGTCTTTGAGTCTTTAAGAAAAGATTATTAGGCTCAGATTACTGTTTCCTCCCCTCATTGAGCAACACTAAAGCTGCTTTCAGACATGTTCAGAAGTCCACACATTTTCCTGAAATTTTCTGGAGGGGCTGTATGTGAGAACACAAATGTTAGTTTTGCCAGACATTTTACGTAACATTTCCTGGCAGCCCCCAAGTAAAATGTCCAAGTGTACAGCATGAAAATGCCAGGGATATTCACTGGAGCGAGTGAATGTGTTGATTTTTTTAAGACACCAACAACAGGAAACTGAAAAGTATTTCAGGATGAAGTAGAGGTGTCATACACGTAGAAGATATGTGTGTTGTACTCAAAAACACAACCCCACTACAGTTTATGCCTAAAAACTGCTAAAGGTGTTAATTTGCTGCATTAATAGGTAGTAAATCAAACTGAATTCAGAAAAAAACTAACCAAAAAGATGGTTATGAAGGAAGCAAATGTAGTCTTGTGTTTTTTTATATTTCGGGAAGCTGCTAACATTTGTCCCGGGTGCAGGACGCTCGATTGTGTTAGTGACAGCCGCTGCTTTGTTTGCAAGCTCCAGTAAATTCAAGAGCACCAGACACCGCCTTTGTTGCTGCAGGAGGAGCGCTGGGTTAACGGGAGAGAGCCGCGGATTGCTCGAGCTGGAAACAAGAGGACTTTGAGATGCTTCTGCCTTTTTATTTTCCAAAAAAAAGGTGTCAGCACTTCTGTAACGTTGTGCTGACAAGACAGACATATTAGAGGATCTCTACATCTCCTACCTATCAGACAGTTATGTTGGCCAAGAGACCCATTTGCATTTCCACTCAAGGCTCACTAGCATCACTGCATGTTCTGTGAGGGCAGTAGTAACTCAGAAAAAATAAAAAGGAGAGACGCTTTGAAGCTGGGCCCCAATTTAGGTCATCCCAGAACTGTTAAACAACAGCTTTGCCACAGAACACGACAGCAGCCTCGGCTTATATTCACCATTTCCTCGTAGAAAATGAAATAAAAGCCCCAAAGGCGCGTTTTTTTTTTAGTGGGGGGGGCAAAACTGTGTCGCATAGCTCTGAAACTGCTTGACTCGGTGCTCACACTAATTCCATGGATGGATTCTGTTTCAAATCCAGTACATTGGTTCACTCTGTACTCTGCACCCTTAGTATTACATGAGGCAAGAAGGACATTTCTTTTCTTGCAGCACCTTGAAGCATTTTTTGTCATTTCAGTACTTTTTCCAAAGGGTTCATACTCAGGTTAGTACACTCGAGTGAAGCCGTTTTCCTTTCCAGGACTGTGGGAGTTGTAATGTTTCTAAATTCTCAGGAAGATATTTTATGTTTTCTGAGCAGTAGGTTTATTTTCAAATATCACAGGGTATGGTGATTTGGGTAAATATATTAGGAATCTTAAACGTTTGAACTGGCTCGTGAAATATGAAATTGGTGCGAACAGATGCTGTTTCAAGCGCAACTGCTCGACAGAGCTCAGAAAACCGACATGCTGTGCTCCTCGGCTCTTCTCATCATGCCCTGATACATCGTTCGCTCACTGCTCTGTGTGTGTGTTTGCATTCATTCATGTGTAGAGTCATGGGTCTAAAAGTGTTGTCTGTTGATTGCATGCCTTTCATTTTCAATTTATCCATAAATTTGACTTTAGGTTCAGTATCTGCAGGCTGTGATGTGCACAAGTGCCTATTTGTGTGTGGATGCAGACATGTGGAGACGCAACAGAGCATTTTCAACACTGACGGACTCAGAACACTCAACATGCACAAAGAGAAATGTGATCAGTCCTCATGCATGCAAACTGTTACAAGATCAATTGCATAATGCATCAATTTTTAGGCCGCTGATACTCAGAGGATAAAAATGTGACTGAAGAGGAACATTTGGTGAAGCATGTTACACTGTGTGATTATTTGACATCAGATCCATGTTCAACATTTTGTGAAGTCTAAAAAAAGCATGATTATACTTGGACAAAAGCCCCTAACACAGCTGATTGTGGAGAAAGTGGGAAGCTGGTGAGGGATTGTGGCCTTGTAGAGGCAGTCAAGACTGGTGCTTATGGAGAAGAAGTGGCAGGAGACCCCACTTAATTCCCAGTGAATTAGATCAAACTGTGGAAGTAGCTGTGCAAGGGGCTTAGAGTGTCCACATACAGAGACTGAGTGACAAGTAAGACTGCAGTCCCCCTGCGTGCTGAGAACACATGCACACAGCTATGATGAAGACTGCTTGCGAGGACGTAAAACCTTGATGGATGGCCCATTGTCACAGGATTTCTACTGGTGCAGCCGATGGAGAGGGAGAGCAGCTCACAGTTCTGCCATATGAAAAACGGCACAAAACACAAAGTTAGATGTGTCATGTTTATTATGAGAAGTGTAAAAAAGACATTGGTCCATTATGGAACTATGGCAGGCTGCCACAGTCTAAGTAATTAATGGGAAACACCCACCCCTGGAGTTATGAGACAAGAACTGTAGTGTAAGAGACATTAATGTTTTTCATTTGGGAAGAAAGGGTGAAAACACCTTGGGTGTGACCTTCAATAAAAATGTGGCTTTGTACTTGCAGTTATGGCTGAGCTCCTTTTCATGACAGCATCGTATCATTCGCAGTTTTAAGTTTCCTCCTGAAAAACCATACATACACATGCATTCTGAAAACTGTCTTTTTCACGCTTCAAATTCCTTTCACATCTTTTGTTTTCAGCCAAACACATCTCATCTTGTCAGTGTGTATCCCTGTGGGTGGGTGCCAACACAAGCCTGTGCAGGTATTCTGCATATCTCACAGATGGCTGAATCCTGGGTTTTATTCTGAATGCACGCAGTGTGTGTGTGTGTGTTGCCACTTGCTGCCAGTGTTAAGAACACTTCAGCGGCTCCATTACTAACCAGCACTGGCAGTGATTATTGGCTCTTGATTATGGTGGTACGTTAGCAGGGAGCCAGGTGTTCACTGTGATTTTCCCTCTCATTAATCTCCCACATTGTCTCCCCCCCTCTCTTCCCTTCTTTATGTCTCTCTCTTTATCTCCCCCTCTTCCCCCTGGATCAGGAAGCCTCGTCCCGTCTCTCAGCTCGTCTCACAGCAGCAGGTAACGCAGCAGTTCGTGTTACCCTCGCAGCCCAAAAAGGAAAAGAAGGAGAGGGTAGAGAGGGAGAAGAGCGACAGAGAGCCGGCGCTCAAGAAGAACAGTCACAAGAAGATGAGGTAAACAAACCGGCACCAGGGAGCAGGAATCTGATGTTTTAAGGATGCATTCATGAACACTAGAATTCATAGATGCTTATTTTTCCATCTCTTTTTCAAATCCTTCTCCTGACCATTAGGCCGAGATTGAAAAACATCGACAGGAGCAGCGCCCAGCACCTGGAGGTGACGGTTGGGGACCTGACGGTCATCATAACAGACTTTAAGGAGAAGGTCAAGCCCTCGTCCACCTCAGCCACGTCCTCCAGCGCCGCGTCGTCGGTGGTCGACCACCACAGCCAGAACGGCTCCAGCTCAGAAAACACAGAGAAGGGGCTTTCCCGCTCCTCCTCACCCAGGGGAGAGGGGAGCTCAGTCAACGGAGAGTCCCACTGAGTCGTCACCCCCCCTCAAATCCTCCTCCACCCCCAGCCACATCTCATCTGCAAGTCACTGGAAGGGAATCCTACTTTTACTTTAGAGCTGCACAGTTTATTGTTACCATTCTTCTGGATTTGTGACTCACAGTATTTGTCAGGGCAAGGTGCCAACCCCTCAGATTTGGCAAATTCTCCACATTTAGAAAGCAACATAGAAAACCTTAGTGCAACTTGGAAGTTGCAGTAGTTTACATCACAAAAATGCGTTGGACCTTTTCAGTTTTGATCTTCTATGGTTCCCTTCAGATGCACCTGCCTATCAAGATTTCCAATATTTTTACTGAACAAAATGTGCAGCCTCAACCTTGGTATTGTGCTCAGTGGCCGGCAGAGTGACCTATTCTTCCCCCATGTGGAATTCTCAGCCACTGCCTGGAATTTTTACCTACCTTGTCATAAACCTGAACCATCTAGCTCACACTTTTTCTCAGTGTCCTTACACTGAACATTCAATATGACAGCGAACCTTTGCTCCTGATCTTGATACTCCGAGCTTTTACTTCAGGACTGCGTCTGCTGAAGAGTGACTTTTGAAACAGCATAGTGGCCACACTTGTGGAACTGTTTGTTGATTTCCATAATGCTCGGAGCAAGGTTGTTTCGTTCAGTAATGCTCGACATGTCCTTGTAATGGCACCTTGTACAGCACATGATTTCAAAAGGGTAATACCGGTGTTATTTAGTTTTTTGAATTTGTGCCCGAGTCAGTTTGACAGTTTTTTATTCAGTATATTAACACCTACAAATAAACCTGCATTATACTTACAGTGCAGAACTTAAATCTCCCCCTTCTGGCAGTGCGAGTAATGATGCAAACATAATGTATGTCCTAAAAACACCAACAGTTTCTTTCTCTGAATTCTTTGCTCAGAGTTTCTTTTTTTACCCAGACTATCAGAAACTCAATAGATTCACGCTATACTCCTACTTGTTGTAGCCAACTCCATAGCTACCGTTATGCGCCTCTTAATCTTGGGCAAACCCAATCATTGCTAGCATTCTCTGGTGTACTGTGAGATTTACCCGGCGCTGGTAGAATTAATCAGCTTGCAGTTAACTTGTTTAGCAGGGGCTTGAATGTAAAAGACGGCTTTTTCTGTAAGCAAGTATGCTCCAGCTCTAAGTGATAATTTTGATATGACACAGATCAAAAATACTTGTAATTTTGTAAGAAATTTGAAAAGTTGAATATAGAAAACTCTCTGGTGATGTAGCCTTTTAATCCTTGTCTTGGTTTTCTGCATCTCACATAGACCAACCACTGAAACATATTTAAGAAAAGCTGTTGTTATGCTCCCTAGCTAGAATAAAACAGTATAAGTTTGAAGTTAGCTAGAAGCTTGTAAAGAAAGTTGCTAACTCGCTACATACAAACTAAGAGTCAGGTTAATATAGGACTGAAGTTGATGTAGAAGCCAGAAACCTCCAATTTAAGTGTTACTAATGTAAATAGCTGTCTGACAGATGAGAGCAGGTGAAAAAAAAACTTAACAGCTTAAGTCCATAATATCTCAGGGCTGTGTTACATGTCTTTTCTGCCCTCTAGCTGTCAAAAAACAAACCCACTGCAGCTTTTACAATCAGACGTGACGTTCAAGAGAGAAACTAACCACTTAAGAGAATCCAGAATAGAAGGTCTGTAACTGCAAATATGGCAGTTAGATACATAAAGGTCGGTAGTCTGATTTCTTACATCTGAGCATGGAAACATATCCTCAGCCCACAGTTTGGGTCTGCAACAGTTTGAACTGATGTTACAGCAGGTGCAGTCGGTTGGAGTAAGAATAAAAGTGGAATATAAGGCACTGTGTATTGACCCATAAAACAAGTTGGTGTATTGTAAACCTTGCGATTGCGTGACAGAACTGTAACCTGAAGGGGGAAACGTGCTTAAAACTTAGTTATATCCAGGCAAAGTCAATATATTCTAAACATGCAGGTTTTTATGCCCCAGGGTCCGTTGAAAGTGCAGTTATGGCCGTCTTTCATTCATTCAGCTAGGGGGCCTGGTCTTGTTAGCCTGGAATAATTGCCCTTGGGCATTGCCAAGATGGCTGCTATGTGAGACCTGCAAATATTACTTTTAGGTCATATTTTTATCCTGTGACATTGAATATACATAATTTCCTAAAAGTGTGTTACCAACCCTTCATTTTAAATGGCACACCATGGTCACTGTCAATTACATGACTTCCCACAGAAAGTTATGTGTCGAGGCAAACACGATAACAATTTTTGAAGCATCACTGATCTCATTTGTGCTTTTATTTTCTTCAACAAGAGACAATTTAAAGCCAGGTTTATAAGAGTAAAAACAAAAAAACAATCATCAGCAAACTGGAAGATGACAAAAGGCACTTTGGCTGTAAATGACGCCGGTATTCTCCTTTTAATCTCTGCTGCACCCGTTCAGGGTCCGAGTGGAAAACCAGTGGGTGCTCACACTGTTCTGCTGCCATACGGGACACAGCTTGGACACAGCAGGACTGACACAGGGGAGTTTTGACTTCTGGACATATTTATGAGCTGTATTGGAGCTTTCCTGCGGTGAGATGGGACTCAAGAAACTGCTTGAATCCTCCATTTTGACGAGACAAAGTGGAGAAACTTTATAGAGTATACTAAACTCCAAGCAGAACAATTATAGATCAAGCTAACTACACATTAACTTATAAAAACCTGTAGAATAAGTACACAGATAAAAATGGATATTTCTAAAAAAAATATTGTACTACAATGTCTTGACGTGGCTTTATTATCCATCATATCAGTGTTATTGTCAATATTTTTACTTTTAAAAATTTTAGCACACATTCTGAGAACTGTCACAGCATGATAATATTACGGTCTCGGTATATTGTGGGACAGGTCGTCTCTTAGTTCGTTAGTATCGTTTTGATTGTCGGAGATGTACTCTCGTAGGTTCACTACACTAGCTGGGACTAGGTGGGTGGACTTGTGGGAATTGTTCGGACAGACGTTTGTTATTTGGTTGTTACAAAAATGGAAGACACTTAAAAATGTGTTGGTGTCACTTGTTGGTATTTTTTCTGTTTGTTTTGCTTTGTCATGCTCAACGTGTGAACTTGTTTATTACATGTCTGAATAAGAAAAGTCGAAACAAAAATGTCCTCCTCTGATGCACACATCTTCTTTCACACACACAAGCTGTTTTCAGACATTAAATCATTATCGTCTGCTCAATTTAATTAGCCTGCAATTTTATCATTTGTTTAACATTACCAATAAATTAGAGTAGCGCAAAAACAGCTTGTGAATTGACTTCTCTAAAGCCATTCGGACGGGAACTCAGGGGGAGAAATGTCCGGGAGAACTGGGTCTGAATATTTTTCTTTCACAACTGAAGAACGCAGCAGGACATTGACCAAAACATTAGGGGTGACTGCTGGGTCGAGCATGCAGGCGGATAAATTCCACTGTTTTTGTTTACAGCCAGTTGACACAGACGTCAGCCCTCACCATCAAAAGCTCCTGATTCTTGCCATCTTTCCAATTCTTTCATGACGATACACTTGTTTAACATTTGCCTCCTCGGATCACGTTCAGACAGATCTTAAGTAATACATGCAGGTTCAGAGTTTACTTAACAGAGAGGGCTCATCGTGCAAAACTATTCATTTGAAGTTCGTGTTTAACCATGCAGTAGTTAGATCAGGGATCTTCATGGCATACTTGTATATAAGCATCGAGATGTTAAGGTGTGGTTTTCACACTAATTAATTAACCACTGCATCAGTCAATAGTCTCATTTTCCTACACTACATGCAAATGCAATTGACGTGCAGCTCTGTTTGTCCAATGCAGCCTCCTCAATAAAGACTAGTCCCTTAAAGCCAGGCTGAATGGGTCTTTTCAGGAGGTGAAACCAATTCAGAGCTGCTGCAGACACAGACTGGAGGTTGGGGGGTGAGGGGGTTAGTGTTTGGGGGGGAGGGGCGAGGGTCAACACCGCTTATCGCTCCCACCCTTCCCCCACGTGAGGGTCTCGACCTCCTGCTTCTGCTGCATGAAGAGAGTCAAGTGAAACTGTCTGAAGTCTGCTGTGGCCTTCAGAATAAAAGCATGGAAAGTGGAGAGAAAGGGAAAAGTGCTCAAAGACACAAATGGTCATTTTGGACTGCTACAAAGTTGTTTATAAAAAGTGAAGAGTTCATTTCAATGTTAGGTTTGGATTGTAATTGCAAAATTAATAAGTGGCACCATGTTGGCTGTGAATTAATAATTTCCCCCCATTCAATTACTGGTTTTGAACTGAAATTCCCCAAATGGTTTTAGCTCTTGAGCCACTGACTCTTCACACTAGTACATTCCTTCTGGACAGAAAAAGTACCTGTTACACTATCCGGTGTAAAGTGTGAAGAATCAAAACTATAACAACAACAACAGTAAATACTAATGCGTAATAAACTAAAGTTCAGATACAATGAAAATCTGATGCAAGTGCAATATTGTTTTGTGTTTTTTCTCCATTTTTTTTTAACCACCCCATGTTATTGTGTTTAAATTGTTACTGTAAATTGTAACATGGTAGCATTATAGCATAGCATACAGAAAAAGGTGGACTACAAACAGAAGACAGGTAAATGAAAACTTCAAAATATTTTTTTACAAGCACCTCGTTCACCCAAATATTCATGTCCACTGCTATCCTCTTCTGTAGCTGCGTTCAGCACCTTGCAATATTTACACTTCCTTTACATTCATTCATTCTGCTCTGTAAGATACTTTATTTTATTTGGTTTTGCAATTTTGTGAGCATGGCTATAAGGGACCAAAGTCTTCCATCACCAGTTCTATGTAACTGTTGTGCACATTATAAATAATCTACATTTGAAGAAGTGGTCTCCAGATACTTCAGTTGTATTGGATTTGACTGCAACAGTGTTCACTCCTGAAACTCCAGACGTCTCTATTGGACTCAGACACTTAGTGGTGAGGAGATAATAAGTGAATTGTCATTTTTGGGTGAACTATCCCTTTAAAAAAAATAATCCTTGCGCAACCACCAGAGGGTGTAGTTTCTCCACCTGATGATCCTGAACACGACTCTTATTTTCCAAACTCTAACCGGAAGTGGCTCGCTGGTTTATTATGGCTCCTCAGTGTCTGTGTCATGACCGTCGCACGGAGTTTTGTCTTTAAACTCCATCATGCGTCGCTACGGTCGCGCACTGACGCTGTGCACGGTGTTCGCCGTCTTCTCGGGTCTGTACGTTTACAACAAGCTGCAGGACACGGGCGCGTCTGCGGGAGGAACCGGGCCGAAGAGGGGCTTCATCCCGGTGCCCGGAGCCGGACGAGGGGCCGCGGACAAAACTGGGCCCCGAAACCTTCACTGGTAAAGTTTGTGTGTCTGCGTGTGAAGCTCTCCGGCGGAAATCTACACCTCTACGTCACACTTGATTCTAGTGGAGACACGTGCTCGTGTAAACTGTGCACGGTGCTGGTTATGTGCAGGAATGTGACGCTGCTGCGGCTGCATTCGAGGTGACGTCATTCAGCCACAACGTTTCTATGGCTGCAGACAAGTCATGTTTTGAAATCTCTCCAAACTTACTTTGGCTTTTACTTGATTTCTCTTTAGCTGTAACTGTGTTTCCTTTCTAGAAGGTTGTGTTATATTTGTTGCCTGTATGTGTTCTTGTGTTGATTTGCTTGTTGTCTTTGCTGTTTTGTAATAATTATAATAACAACAGTAACAAGCAGACGATGGGTGGTGTAGGCAGGTAGATGTTATAGATGCACCTTGAAGTTGGATGCTATCACCAATAAACCGAACAAAGAATCAGACAACACAAATCATTTGTGAAGCCCTTCAGTAATATGTCATTAAAGTTTACAGACGTCATAAGATAGTAATGTCTCCCATAGACCAAACTAGAGCCACGTTTAGACACGAGACATGAGATTATATAATCAGTGTGTTTATGCATTATGCTGTTTTGTTTATGTCTCTGCTCAATTTAAGGATTTTAGGAAAGGAGCTAATTTAAGTTTCAATTAATTACTTGATTAGATAATAGGTCAGGACATCATGGCATCAGATAGAGGAACGCAACAACTGGTTATATATAGGACCAGAGTATGATGTTATTTGTTCTTAAAAATGACAAGGTGTTATCCAGACAAACAATAATTGGAGACATTTAAGGCAGAAGAAAATGTACCAGGAAATGAATTACACAATAAAATGTTTAGCCTCTCTAGATTAGGTTTTGGTGCTTAACAGACTCAAGGATGTGTCTCATCCTTTTATTTCTCTGTATGTGCAGGGAAATGCAGGTGGCACTCTGTAGAGTCCTCTGGTAGCTTGACATTTAGTTCATGTTTTTCTCCCCAAAAATGAAAACTAGAGTGGGAGTTTTGAAGTTCTATAGCTTTTAAAAAAAAATTGTTTAACATGGTGTCCTTTAGTTTCAAGGGATATAAGATAGACAGACACCCTGATGAAGCCTTTTGTTAAGACTGTGTTTGTATATTCATCATCAAAAAAAGTGCAAGTCAGTAAACTTCACTTATTATATGAGAGAAGAGCCTTGTGCTTGAATTATCTCTATAGCAAATAAAAACGTACCCATAATAATCCCCAACATCTTTGTGTGACTCAGGTACATCATTCGTCAGCGGGGTCAGTCGGAGACCGGCGGCACCAGCGTCCAGAGTGAACCCGAGCCCCCCATGCACCTGGCTGTGGTGGCCTGTGGTGAGCGGCTGGAGGAGACCCTCACCATGATCAAGTCTGCTGTGCTTTTCAGCATCAGACTTCTCCACCTGCACATCTTTGCTGAAGATCAGCTACACGCCAGCTTCATGGAAGCAGTGAGTGGGAGATATTTGGAGTCTTTAAATTGGAAAACAGTTAGTGACCCAGAGTTTGTGTTGACCATGTCTTCATTGAACACCTCTGTCTTTGTTACAGTTGGAGTCGTGGCCGGGATTCATTCGCTCCAGGTTCAAATACACAGTTTATTCCATCAGCTTCCCCAGTGACAACGCAGTCGAGTGGAAGAAACTCTTCAAACCCTGCGCTTCTCAGAGGCTCTTCTTACCCGTGAGTTTCAGATAGACTTCAGTTTATCTCTGATGTGATTCAGTTATTCAATTCTGGGGTTTTTTAACATACAAATCAAGATTCAGAATTTGAATCCTGCAAAAATGTTAATTATGACATGAATAACACTTGCTATAATTTTAAATAAATGAAAAGCTACACTTTTCCTTAATATATTCAGGAACACTATAGTGAAATGTGGTGTCTTCAAATCACTGAAGTTCAATGTTATAAAATAAGAGGAAAATTCCCCTGAGCAGCACTCACCAATATATATATATATATATACACAAATCAAAACACTGCAGAGCATCCACACTATTTCCATCTTCTGAGTGACTAATGTTTGTGTCACTCTCCATTTATGTAGCTGATCCTGAAGGACATCGACTCGATCGTATACGTGGACTCGGACATCCTCTTCCTGCAGCCCGTAGACCATCTGTGGGCGTTCCTGCCACGCCTCAATTCCTCCCAGTTGGCGGCCATGGCCCCCGAGCACGAGGAGCCCCGCATCGCCTGGTACAACCGCTTCGCCCGCCACCCTTTCTACGGCAGGACGGGCATCAACTCGGGGGTCATGCTCATGAACATGACGAGGATGAGGAACACGTTCTTTAAGGTAGGGGCTGAGAAACTTTGCCCAGAATGTATTAGTGTACCACCATTATTGGCCACTAGATGTCCTCCTTCTGCTGCATTTGTCCACCAAGGATTCATTTGATGCTGTTGCAAACTGAAGCTCCGCACTAGTATCTACAAAGTTTTGACTGTTGTTGGTACTTGTGTGTGTTGACAGAACGACATGACGTCTGTGGGGCTGCGTTGGGAGGAGCTGCTGATGCCTCTGCTCCAGAAATACAAGCTGAACATAACCTGGGGGGACCAGGACCTTCTCAATATCATTTTCCACCACAACCCTGGTGAGGAGCATGAAATTGAAAAAGATATTACTATATCGCCAAGATGTACACATTAATGTTATCATATCATATCTGTTCCTTTACCATGTTTGTGTTCCATTCCGTTCGCAGAGACGTTGCTGGAGTTTCCGTGCCAGTGGAATTATCGTCCCGATCATTGCATCTATGGCAGCAACTGTGCTTCAGCAGAGGAGGATGGCATCTACATACTGCACGGAAACAGAGGGGTTTACCACGACCACAAGCAGCCCGCCTTCCGAGCTGTTTACGAGGCCATACGAAAAGTGAGCACACCCTGTCGTGTTTGTGTAATTGACGTTTGATCCATATTTAAGCCCGCAGGCACAGAATAGACACTGTTGTATTTATGTGCTAGAAAAGTTAGCGGTAAAACACAGAACTCATGAAAGATGGAAAAAAAAAAGCAGATCCATCTCCTTTAATGTTATTTGATGTTGTAAAATTAACTACCCTTCTATTAATCCGTTAATAACTAAATTTTATCCGCACCTCGTGAAAAATAGCTCTTGCACGTCCGCGCTGCGGTTTGGTGATAAATTTATTTTTATTACTGGGACTGAATGAAGACATAAAGAAACTCGCGTCTGATCAAATTTAATAACCAAAAATGTCAATAATCTAAAATATTAATGGGGGAAAAAAAAGTCTTTATTGTCTGCTCCTCTGTATTTATGGCTTTTAAAGGCTTTGTCTCAGAGTTTTATGTTTTAACAGCCTGCAGCAGTTACACAGGCAGATATTGATGGTTGAAGAGGAAGAGCAAAGGAAGCTTGATATTGTTTGATTGGAGGATGTGACTCTTTATTTTGACTGGTAATACTTCATTTCTTGTTATGACACCACTTACTCTGCCAAGGTCAGTGTGTGCTAGTTTATTTGTCAGCAGGTTTACACGAAAACTACCAGACAGATTTCCACGATACTCAGTGAAAGGATGCAGTGTTTAAAGAGTATTTAAAGATTCCATTAAATTTTGGTGTCAGTTTTGGGCACTTTTTAACATTTTCCTTGATTTCTCAGAGAATAATTTGATGAAAAATCAGAGATGGGGGATGAAGTCTTTTTGCTGATGTATGGCAACAAATGGGAACCACCACCAATTAGCAGGGCTCTGCAATGCAAGTCATTTGCCTGCATTTGCCCCAAAAATAAGTTAAAATTTACAACCATAAAACTATAGCCCCTTTTCCACTGGTTGAAAAACCCACTAACACTCGCTGACATCTGGCTTTTGTCTGTATTCCCTCCCACCTCAAATTAGTAGACACTGGTTTTAATCAGCTCCAACCGGCAGTGATGGAAACATGGCACCAGGTCTAGTTTTGTACTTGAAGGGTCGATAGCCTACGACAGGTCATAAAGACTGCCTGCAACGAAGGCTGATATGTGGGTGATATGATAAAACTAACGGATCGCTCTGAGCAGCTTCGTTTTCATCTCTGTTTGTTTAACAAAATTACTGAACTTGATACAAGGAAGAACCCATCAAAGTTTTGGATTCTGTACGAACGGTGTTGACCTTGGCAGAGGTATGGGCTCTCCAAACATCTATTTGCATCTTAATATTCCTTTCCTCATGATTAAAGTGCATAGGCCTCCTTTATATTTTCCCTGCAATCCCTCTCTTTCTAAAAACAACTAAAAACAGCGACTGCAAGAAACTCCTGCAGCCCGTTAATGTCTCTCAGGTATGAAGGTGAAAAAAGACGTGTCGAGCCCTTTCAAAGTGCCAGAGGTTTCATTTAGAGCAACATCTGATGGGAGAGGACCTTTTCTGACCCCGGCGTCCCACCTACCCTCCTCCACTGCTCCCTGTCTTTCCCCTCCGAGGGACGAAATGAGATTTTGGATTGGATGCTGACCCTGAAGAACTTTAAAGGAGACCCATTATGCTTGTTTTTGGGTTCATCCTTTTAATTTGGGGGCACTACTTGAAAAGGTTTACAGGCTCCAATGTTCAGAAAACACATTTGTTTCTTTATTCTATTCATTGCTGCAGCAGCAGGAGACTTAAAGCCAGATTCAGCTCCTCCTTCGGTCCCTCTGCTGCAGACTTTGGGATTTTGAGCCATGCACAATGTATACGTTCACAAAACATATATACAACCCACGAGAGGACCGGGAAAGACTGAACAAGCATAGCAGGTCTCCTTTAAAGTGCTGGTGACATCAGATAGTCTCCTACACTTACCTCATACCTCCACCGGCAGATGATCGCAGCGAGCACTAATTTCCCCTGTGAGGATGTTTATGTGTTGTTTACCAGCAGCGTAATGATATCGACGACAGGAGTGGCATTTGCTTAATGAAGCCATCACTGTTCACCATCTCATTGCTTTCCTATTAACTAAATATTGGACATAGATCAAGGCGATGGCTGATCCATACCTTATCTATGGCCTGCAGTTAAAACTGTATACAATCAGGATCAATTATGGCAGTCGACACTCGACACACATGCACCTGAACTGAAAACACTGGCTGGATGAGCGTAGAATCCCAACAGAGGGCCATAGCATGCATGAAAACGTTTTCCCCCCTAAGAGCATGTGTAGGTGTTGATACTTTAATAGATATGTGATTAAGTCTGGTTTGCCAGGAGGATGGAGGAGTATGGATTGATTCTGTGCGTGTTTAATCTCATGGGTCGGACAATTTCATCTGTTTTAGATTTTGCGCGTGCAGGGAATCTGCGGAGTGAATAACGAACAGGATGGGAAGACTCCAGCAGCTCAGTAAAAGAGGGAAAGTTCAGAAACTGGCTGGGGAAAGCGGATTCAAATGCCAAGCGGAAGTTAAAGAGCAAAGAAGTCGATTTTCTTGCTCAATTTTCTTAAACTGCTGCTTGTCTAATATCAAAGTTTAAAAAACTTTTCTTTGGAAAGCAGACAAAAGTAAAGAAGTGGTGAAGGGAGGGAGGTGTGCTTAAATCAGGCACTTGTGAAAAGCAGTAGCAAAGACTAAATCTGGCACATGGTTGAAAACTTCCTGGAAAGCTAATTTCTACTGAGGCTGAATCCTGATGTGGCGCAGGCGTGCAGTCAGGTGACCATCACTGAGCGACAGAGCACAGGCAAAAGGACAGTTATTGGCCTGGGAACAGCACAGGTGTTGCTATGACGATTACTGCGATGACACCGTGACCAAAAATTTGATATACAACATTTTGTTTCATCTCAAGAAGTTAATCATTGTATTTAGTCTTTCCTGTTTTTTTACGACATCATTTTTCAGACATTATCTGGAGTTCATGAGAAATCAATTCACCAGCTGTTATTGTGCCTCATTTATGTATAGTTCATCAATAAGTAAGTAAATAAGCAAATTATACAATTGTAGCTTCAAAATTAGGCTAATTTAGCCGAGCAGACAATTTCCTCCTCAATTAAGAGACTGATGTGAAATCATTGTCCACACTCTTCATCCGCACACAAAGGAAATGGAACACAAACAGCGGTGCTCCTCCCTGTCTGTCTGCCCGCCTGTCTCAAACAGACCGCAGCAGTCTGTCCGTCATAAAAGTAACTTCTCCTCCCTCCGCTGCAAAAAGCGGAGCCCGGGAAGCAGCAGTTAAATTTTACAGCCGATGGTACATCTAGAGTCAGGAGTCTGCACATCAACAGCCCCCCATCAGCCGCACAAAATCAATACACCAACTGTAAATGCAACTTTATGACCGGCGGGTGCATGCGTGTGTGTGTGTGTCCACTCCCATAAAAACATTCTCTTTGTGACCCAATATCAGGGACCAAACTGCAAGCAAATGAGCTGGCATAAAAAAAATGGTAATTCCTCTTTGATTTCCTCGGAGCATTGTAAAGGCTCCTTCATTATTGGGAAGACATCAAATTTCTCCTGTAATCCCCGGTTATAACTGGACGTTAAGCCCATAGCATAAAACTGACTGCAACAACAATGTGGACGCCTTTTTTATGTTTTACCCGGCTGACCGATCAGATTAGATTTGGAGCTCTGTCCGAGTCCAGCGGGCCTCGCAGGTTTTATTCTTTAATTTATCCACGGGAAGACATCTTCCAAGGCCAAATGCTGCCCAGAGCTGCACTTTGCTGAGTTACACAGGGAATCTGATCGATTCTGCCAGAACAGCAGGGGGTCAAGAGGCGTCCCCCAAGTTTCCAAGAATACTACTACTGCCACCTTTAGGCTACCACCAATCATATTGTCCAGTTTTCCTAAGAAACAGGAAGGGACAGGGGAGGACACATCTTACCTGGAATCACGAGACCAGATAGATGCACACAAATCGTCCTTTTTTTTAATATTCAGATCAGTACAACTCTGTTTTTTAGCACATTAACTGTAGATTATCTCCTTTTACATGATTGTTTTGTTTTAAATTTTTTATGGAATGTCCAGTATCTTTTAGTAAAAGTAATATGTAGTTATTTGGAATTACAGCACTGGCCCCTTCAGTTTACACTTTACTTGTCCTTGAGGTTTTGTTAAAAATAACTTATTGACTCAGATTTTAGGAAGGCACACACGTCGGTACAAAAACCAAGCCATGAAGTCAAAGGAATTCTCTGTAGAACTCGGCAATAAGATTGTAGCAGGCTATAAATCAGGGTAAGGATATAAAACCATTTCTTATATTTTATTAAGTTTTTAGTGATCCCATGAGCAGAGTAGCCTCAATAAATGTGAAATGGAAGAAGCTTGAAAACCCCAGCAAGAGTTGGCTGAGGCCAAAACACTGGAGGCTGTGCAGACACTTGAGGACAGCTGACAATCCAAAAAAGAAAAAGGTCCTGAAAAAGCACGAGCTTCAAGATGAAAGAAGCCTTTTGATAAGAGGTGGGCGGTCAGCTCCAGAAAGAAGGACTGCAGCAAACTGGAGGCTGCTCATATCAATGAGGAACCTTTCCAAAGAATAGAGAGAAGGTTGTTGTGAATCTGGCAAAAAGAAGACGACAAAAAACTAAGGGCATTTAGAATGTGGAGGTTTATAAAAGATAACCAACGTACAAACTGCAGCTATTGAAAACACCACACAAGGTCAAATCTTCTACCTAACCACTGAATTGTTTTTGTCATTGCAGTTTCCATTTGGCGCCGACCCAGTGACAAATTTGTTGGATCCTCTAGAAGAGGAACTGCTGAAGACGACACACACGTACTGTGGTAAATCCTACGCACTCTTCACAAAGAGACTGGCACACAGCCTGGCTAACACCAACAGGAAGGCTCCACGTGGACGATGACAAACAACAAGCTCAGCCACCAAGATAAGGACAATGTCTTATGGTGGCTGAACATCCTTCCTTACGTTCCTGGGGAGGAAGTTGAACTCTCCCAAACTGATTGAAGCTTGCCTGCTTTAGACAGCAGGTTTTTAAATGATGTACCACTAAAGCTTGAACTGGCATTGGTTCAAAAAATCAGGGATGTACCTTTGATTCTGTGGAACAAGTAGAGTTTCTCCACAGCTAAATCTCCAACAAATCTACCAATATGCAATTATTAGGAGTTGGTTCATCCATATAAACACTTGGGGGCGCTAATTCTCCAGTAATTTCTTTCATCAATCAATTGGAGGAATGTTAGTCTCCTTAAATATTTGATGTTCTTGTTTACTGGCAAATATATTTTGTCTCATCAGTGCAGCAGAAACATCATTGAACGTTTAAGCCACATATTCCATGTATGTCTTGATTTATCTGCAAAGTTTGTTTCCAATGCACTTTGTTTCAGTTGAACATGAACGTTTTTTCTCCCCTTATATTTTCTGTTTCCACAAAAAAAGTGGATGGAAACCACCTAAAGAGGTAGCTGATGCTGTCTGAGACTGTTCACCTCTAAGTTCCTCTGGATAAGAGCGTGATGTAAATGCCTGAAATCTACTGTAAATGTAGTGTAGGCCAGTTTGTAGCTAAATACGAAATTTAGCAGTCGCTCTAAACTTTAATACAAATGTGTGCATGTGTTTTTATATTTTACTGACAACTGGAGATCCTCATCTCTCAGTGCCTTTGGCTCTCGACTGAAGGTGCGAGAGCAGCTCTTGACTTTCCATATTGGAGAATTTATTAAACATTGTGAAGCACTCTTATTAAAAGAGGCAAACCATAAGAGAACTGGAGAGAAGATGCACTGGACCACTTTCAACCTTCAGAAACCACTCCTTCTGGAATTGTTCTGCATTTATTGAAACCTGTTTGCTCAAGTAAACATTTCACACAAGTTACCTTAACATGGCAGGCAGATACATTTCATCATGCTTTATACAAGAATGATGAACATTGCTGCTGAATCATTAGACACCTCAGACTATTGTTGTGTCAACCAGACTCATTGTGCTACACAGTGACCACTTTAACATGGACACCAATATGCCGACTGTTGACCTTCCGACATTATTTCAATTATATTACTGATATTATTCTAATTTACATGTTGACTGCCATCATTACGTCCACTATGCAATGCACGTCCGTTATTCTGCCAATTTTAAAACACTCACCTGAAGTAGTATGATGTTACAGTTTACCATTTTCAGTGTTTTCTTTCTAATTTTGCAAAAGCTTATACTCCTTATTTTCTTCTTGATTACACCAAGGTCATGTCAAGTAACTTGTTTGTTCATAAATGGACGTACATGTCTGCATCACTAAGGTTGGAATATTCATTCTGTCTAAATTTAATTATTGCTTAACGAGTGTGACCTTAAAAAAAGCTGTTTACATGGCAGAATCTAATACAGACTATTAATATTCTCTACTAATATTGGTTTCCATGTAAACGTGGTGACTGTTTAGCTGCCATACATTAACATTCACAATACAGAAAAACTACTATTGAACATGTGAATAAGCTACAAGTTCCCTCCTGACGCCAAAGTTTTATTGTTTTATTACTGTTATTCTTTTTTTTGCACCGGTGAATGTATTTTGTACACTAAGGGATTAAATGTTGTAAATAACTGTTATGACTTTCGGTGTTTGGTATAAAGTGAGAAAATGCTTTGTGTCTTAACTTTGTTTATTCGTCACTGCTGGAATTGCAATGTCTTTTTTACATTAAAGATTTATTCTGTTTTTCTACAGCATTGTGTTATATTTCACCACCAGGGGGTAGCATTTTTTCATAGTTTTTAAATGAGTATTTGTTTTGAAGAAGGGAAAGTATTTTTCCTCAAGAAGGAAAACATCAAGAGAAAACTAATTCAGATTAACAATAATAATAATCCATTCAATGATATAGCACCTTTCGAAACAGCAGCTACAAAGACAAGAAGCAAATTAATACAACACCATTTAAAATCAAAGACAGCTAATTATCAATTACAGCATTGTTTAAACAAGTAAATCTTTTGGAAAATTTATTTAGTTTAGAAAAATAAATGTCTTATTTCATTAAATACATTTTGGTTGGATTCATGATTCAAATTGCCCAACATATTTCCAAGGACACTTTAAATTGTGCTTATAGTGTTGGAGATTCTGCCAAGTGTGGCAGTAAAGAGGATTTATACTCATTCGATTTGAGTATTTAGTACTAATATTTCTATTTAATCACATACAGAAAATAATAAAACATCCATTTGAAAGTAATGGCAAAATAAATGTATGAATTTGAAATTAATATTACTGCCATCACTTTTATTACCTTACGACATAGTTATGGGGATGATTACATGATTTTTTTCTTTTTCTCTTTTCCACGATATAAAGCATCTTTTATGATTTTAATCTCAAGGATCTAACTTGAAGAAGATTGATGCCATGTTTCTATCAGCTCCTTGGCCAGATCAATGGACTTGCCAATAATCTATGACCAGGCCGCCTGAGATGCCGCACCATCCCTGCTCCAGCTGCTCATAAAGTGTAAGTGATGGACCAATAACACTGCCGTATAGATGTCCGTCTATAACACTGCATGGCATTGACTATGGGGAATGAGTTTATGCTTATCCCCATTAGGTGGGGGATACAACCATCTGTTTATGGTTCCGGAGCTAGTTTGATTTATTGCAGCAGAAATGTCCGTCATTCATCACTGTATATCATTATGAGAGCTTATCAATTACCTTTATTGACCTGTGTGCTTAAATGCAACACGCAACAGAGCAGGTCCCCAGGGAGAGAGAGGGAGACAATGGCTTGAATTGAGCACCATGTTGAAAAATTCAATATCGTCCATCCTACCATGGTTTCATTTTCCTGAAACTACATGTTTTATGTTGTAGTAAATAACCAGGGTTTTATTTCTTTTGTGTCATCTCTGTTGCAAAGAGAAACTATTTAAAATAAATACGTGACCCCCAGCATTTACAGCTGGGTCAGGGTGAGAGAAAATAGGGGACATTGAAGAAATAATTAAATGTACTTCAACGTGAGTGACAGTATTTTTGACGGACAACAGGAGAAATAAAGAAATAATCCAGGTGAGGCCCTTCTCCTTCCACATTGTAACAGGACAGAATGTTGCAGAGGAGAGATGAGTGCAAGGACAGAGAAAAGGCTGGAGTGTGTTAGTGATGAAAGAAAACATGGCTGTCATAGCCAATATAGCAATTAGGGCACTTTGCCGCTGCAGAGCTCCATCTTTTTCAATATTGCTAGTCTGAAAACAGAGTTGGACTTCAAAATTGCATTACTGAAAGAGGACAGAAAAGCTTCCAAAGAGACAAGCATATTCCAGGTATATGCACCATATCAAATGCAGTGCGTCAGTGGATGAATAAAAAGACTAATGTCCATATTAATATATGAAAGGGCTGGATGCACCAAAACACTCACATGCAACAGAGAAGCTTTGGAAGAACCTAAAGAGCAGCAAGAAAAATCTATACTGTAAAAATCTACTGTATATAAAGATGGACAACATGACTGCTCACAAAAAGTCTGGTCTGATAGTGTGTCTGCTTTCGAATGCTCCTTTAGAAGAGATGAGGAGCCACTAAAGGCCTTGTACTCTCCAAGACCTGTTAGCTGACCTTGGTGTGTGGAGTGCTCCGCTTAAACCTGCATAATTTGGTGGCAGTGCTGTAAACACATTCACATATTTAGACAAGGAGCAACATTTGAAGTCATGCGTTTTGCCACCAGAGGATTTGTGGACCAGTGCTCTGCTTTTAGCCCTGTTTTGGTCTTGTATCTGGTTTATTCCCACAGCTCCTATATCTGGCTCTGTAGCGGCTCATTGCTTCAGTTTTCTCAACCTTTTTACTAGCATTGTGTGCTGTTTGCCTCTGAACAGGTACATTAACACCAACCTGCGGTGGCTGTAAATGAGTCGTGAGAGGAAACCAAAACAGTAAGGTTGCGCTCCATAAAACCAAAACAAAATAAGCTTAAGGACACTAAAACTATCCATATATCCTGAGTGAAACTGCAGACTCAGGTAATAGCACTCATGTTCATATAAATATATTGATCAGTGCAGCTTTAAAAATGGACTGTGCTCCTGATGCTCTGCAACTTGTCAATAGAGTGTGAAGCATTAATAAATCACTCTTTAAACTTGAATTATGTATTAGTAAAATTAACTAGATACCACCCTGCAGATGTATTTCTATGCCAACCAAGTGCTGTTTTTGTCTACATACATGTTGTTCTCCATCGATTGCTGACATAAAAATATTAGTATCGATATACTGATATACAATGTTCACAAGAACACGAGGGTCACATTGACCTTCAACCTTTGACCACCAAAACCAAATCAGTTAATCTTTAATCAAAGTGAACGTTTGCACCAAATATGAAGAAATTCCCTGAGATATTCTAATCAGTTCATCCATTATTAAATATTTCTACCAAAACTGAAAGGATTCCCTGAAGGCATTCCTGAAATATCATGTTCACAATGTAAAAAAAGTTTTGGAGGTCACAAGAAGTATCACCATGACATGATGTGTTCCTGTTACATCACATTGAACTTGACCTTTAACCTTTAACTGCCAAAATCAGCTCATCCTTCAGTCCAACTGAATATTTCTACCAAATCTGAAATTCCCTTCAGCCCATCACAGACGACTCAAAAACAATGCTTTCAGCCACTGACAGTCATCTGCTCTGAGGCATAAAAACCTTTTATAAGTACGCTTTAGCATGCTCTTCAAAAAATAGGCTCTGGTTGCGTTTGTCTGTGCTTGTGTTTATTTGTCATTTACACTGAGTACACTTTTCCATTACGATTTGATCAGTTTAGACAAGGCAGCATGTAATTTTGACAGCTTCAATCCAACGCATATATAGCATGTGAACCCCATAATGAAAACACGCTCAAAGAAACGCATCTCCACAGCCAGCAGAGGAAGTATGAGGACTGTCACCACACACACTCTTAATACCATATATATGACTTCTGCTCTGCACATTTGAGCACGTATGTCATATCATATTCACAGCGGGGGGTCATTTACATGTTGTAATAGGGTCTACACATCACTGCTGGAGGAGATGAAAGAGAGAGGCACACAGGCCTGAATGTTCCCCACAAACAGAATGTCATGTTCGGCACCTCTTATTTACATGTGTGCTTCTCCAGGGTGCGTTTGATGCCCAGTGAGATGGATTATGACATCTTTGCTCACACTGACACTGAATTTGCTGCACTGATTCACTCGGTATGCCACATACAAATACAGAGAGTGAGACAGAGTTGATATTAAATTTGAGCAGATTGGTTTATTTACTTCACAGCTTATTTTCTGTATTTGTCAGATTCAACATGGCAAATGCCACAAAGCCAAGCCAAAGGATGTCTGTCCAACTCTCTGTGAAGTCTCGCTGCTTCCGCCGGAGCCAGCACTCAGTAATGTGAAACCACCATTGTCAGACCGTCTGCCAAATGTGGTCCTCGTCCTTGATTTTGTCCTCATCGCATTCCATTTTACCCCCTCATACCTTTTTCTTAATTCCTATTTTGTCACATTTCAACAAGAATCCAACTTTGAAATCCACCTCAGTGTGTGACCCACTTTCTCCTGATGTTTTTTTTCCCTTGTACCCGTCAGAGGGCACGCAAACTTCCAAAGACAAGCCCCCACTGCGAATACAAAAATACCCAACGTGCGCATCCCTTTATTTCCACTGTAAAAGAAACGGCAACAGACTGTTTTCAAAGACGGATTGTGTAGCAGAAGTTCTCACCTCCAAACATTTCAAGAACGCCTGTGTGAGTGTGTGTACTTCGAAATGCTATAGCCTTGGGGATAAGGAGCTGCTTGCCTTTGTGAGAGACTGCAGGCGCACATGAGCAAAAAACAAGGCTGCTACAGTAAGAAGAACACAACCAAGGACAATAAGCAGATGCTGTCTTTTCAAGCATATGAGGTCGCCAACAAAATGAGATGTACATGGGGGTTTATAATGGTTTGAGTAGCTGGATTTGATAAATATAAAAGCACGTGGCTGCTCAATGAATCTCTACAGGGGAATAGTCAGTTCTATTTCAAATACAGAGACTGTGGAAGATATTTGTGCACTTTCTTGCTGGGATTTATGAAGCTACTGCTACTTGCTTTATCACAAAATACAAATTGTTATCAAAAGTGCAGCCTTTTAAAAAAATGTGTTAAACTTACATTTTTAATTGGTCACTAATTCTACAGGAACTGAAAGGTGTAGCTTTTTAAATTTTGGACTCATCATAGCTTTTTCTAGCTAGATGAAACAATACCATTCATGTGTCGGGAAATTACAGTTTAGGCTACATCCAGCATACAACTTTTACACTTAGCTTTTTAGAATGAATTGGATAGATATGATAGATGACACGTGGCGTTTTGGAGGAGATGCTAATCAAATGCATAGACTGTTGGCTGACATGACAGCTCTCCAAAAGTGAAGCCACTGGCTACTGTGCAGGTCATAAATCCCACCTCCTCCATGTAAGTGGATGGAACATGTTAAGCTAATACCAGTATAAAAACAGTAACAACTCATTGCAGAAATGGTAACAAGGTAATAAGCGGCATCAATTGCTGAATTATTTTTAAGATATTACTGGTACATTTCTGCAGAGAATGTTGGATGGGAACACAAGCTGCACATTGAAATGCCACACACACACACACACACACACACACACACA